TACAATAGCGACGATTATTATTTTAAAAAATTTTTGTTAGGCTTAACATCGATGAAAATTCAACGCAAAATAGGTTAATAGCGATATACTAATATACTAATTACATGGGATATAATAATATACTACACTAATAATGGATTTTTTCATACTTTTCGGTTATCCGACTTTTCAATTATCCGACCAACCCCAGTCCCCAATTAGGGCAGATAATCGAGGTTCTACTGTAATACTACATTGTGCTTACAGAACAAATAAAAAAACGACACAGTTTCAAAATATGGTAAATTAATGCCAAGGTGAACCATTGGGAGATAATGCTTCACCTTAAAATAATGGCAACTTACATTTTCTTTTGATCCCAACAACTAAGCCAAATGTAGCTTCACTACTAGAATTACCTCCCAAACAGGTCCTTCTGATATCATGAAAGCTAATTTTTTTTATGTTGAATGAATATATAGCATGGAGTTAAAATTTTTATTCATTTAAGAGATTAATCTACTGTCAAAATTTATATTATAAAGATCACATTATTTCAAATTTGAAGAAAATAGGTTTGCAGAAATCATAATTACACTATCATCAAATCATCATCGAGCAAAAGTTTCACAAAGGCTAAGCTTAGAAATGTCCATTTTGTCGGTTTTATGTATTATATTTATTACATTAAAATTTTTCTTAAAAACTTTAATATAATAGAATCCACTTATTGAAAATCACAGACATTATCATTAGTCATTTAACATTAACAAATTAGCACATCAAAACAAACTTATAAAATTTTGCTTATTGTAATCAGTCTGGTTAGTTATTTTTCTGAAGATAGAATAAAGATTATTCTTTTTGCTTTCTTTTTGTACAATAAGTCAACATGTGGCTGATAATATACAATTATTATCAATAATTATCAGTCTTAACCACTGATTTTAATATTAACCATTTTAACCATTATTTGCTCACAGTATAATAGTTTAAATTTATAGTATTTCTTATTTAAATTAGATGCTGAATAGGTAATTAATTAATGATTAACAAATTACAGTTATATATTATTTTTTAAATTTTAACATCCTTTTTGTGATCAATCAATAAAATCAGTTTCTACTAATCATATTAAAAGGATTTCCAGTATATATATCTTGCTTAATGTTATCAGTTAATTGTTTTCAGTTTAGATGAGTTTCAAAGTGATTACAATAAGCAGATTCTATTAAATTTGGTAAATGCATATATATATAAAAAAAAAAAGAAATTACATATCAATTTTTAATATTTTTATTTAGCATATACTTTTGGATTTGGAAAATGACTAAAATAATAATGCTGGTAATAATCTGTGGTGTACTGTACTTACAGGGGTGATGGGGTGTTTGATCTCTCTCCAGAGGCTTTAAATAAAATTTAAACTAAAAAAAATTATCTTAAACAACAAATCTAAAATTATTATTAATGAATAATTCAATATCAATCATTCCATTTCTTATTATAGCAAAAAGTTATCAATCACTTGCTTATTCTGTACTATGTTCTAGAAGAAAGATCACAGTTCTGATATTGAGTTTGATCTCAAAGTTTCCTTCTAGATGAAGACATATTGGGAACATTCTAGAATATTTATCTGGCAGATATATACAAGATGTTCATTTGTTAGCTACAAGGGTTAAGGAAAATTTAAATTTTTCTTCATTGTGATTGTATTTACTTTTTAGACCATCTTCCCAGATCACCCCTTAGTTAATCTTAATTATCAATAGTTATACCACTAGTAATAATTCAGTGGAGAGTATAAAATAGGAAAAAGTAAAATACACCCCTCTACTTTGTTGTTATAAAAACTAAGAGAATGTGGAAATTCTTCATTTTTAATTGTAATATTTAGTTTAAAATTTTTGATTTTAAAATTTACAAATTCAATAAATAAAATGGAATTTTACTTATACAAATCAAATTAGATATCAATAAATTTTAAATACTTCTAATTCAAGCTATCAACATACTGTATCATAAAAAATAATTATGAATAAAAATTTAACTACTCTCAATCATAAACAAAATCAGAACAACAACTCAAACTTACAATGAAAGATTTCAGGAAATATAGAATTCAAAGACCTTTAACAATATATAAAAACTAATATGAATCATCAAAATTTGAAAAGAAACTACTTTAAACTAAACAAAAGTTAAATTTCAATCTATCATTTAAATCTAATAATAAACTTTTATTATTGTCAGTAAGATGACTAATCCCATTATTAAAATCCCGTCAATCCTATAATCTATATGGTGGGTATTATAACTAAAAATGCAATAATTAAAATAAAATTTAATTGATTTCGAACTTAAGATATTTAAAAAATATACAGAAAGTAAAGTATTGATGTAAAAAAAATTTAAGTTAATATTCAAAAGTTTAATCATCATCATTCTAAACTTATATACTGTATGTTAATGCTTTAAGTTAAGAAAATGAACATTTTTCTNATACAAGATATTAGGTAATCCTACCACTATAAAAGCCCACAGTTAGTCGTCCCAAGAAAAGCAACTCAATAGAGTTTGCTACTTCAGAAAATGCAAAAAATGCAGCTGACATAAGGCCTAGAGAGTTATTAAGTAGTAGAGTTTGTCGCCTGAAAAATAAATTCCAGTTTAATTGCTGAAATAATTGCAAAATAAGGAATTTTTAAAATCAGAAACATTAAAAATTATAAAAAAACATATCAATGAAATGTTAGCTAATGACCAATTTGTTTTGTTTCTTATTTCTCACAAAATCAATTTACTAAAAAAAAATTCATCCAAAAATTTAATAAAGGGGGATTTTTACTGTTCCGAGCAAAAGT